GCGGTGTGGCTGGGTGAGACGGGGGGGGTGTTGGAACCAGAGCCTCAGTCTCCTGATCTGTGAAAGGGACAAGCATCGTCCTCCCAGAGCCGAGGGGGCGGGCGACAGGAAGGCTTGAAGCTTTAAAAAAAAAAATTACACAGATTGTAAATTGACATCCAGCCTGTTGGTTTCAGGCGTTCAGCATAGGGTTTGGACACTGACACAGCTTGTGGAGTGGCCACCCCGGTAAGTCTCGCCCTGTGTTTGGCAAACTGCGGCTCACGCAGCTCTTGGGCCCCGGAGGGTGGCTCTTCCACAGAGTACCGCGGCCTGGGTCAGGCCGTGTTGAAGAAGTGGCGTTAGGAGAAGTTTAAGTTTAAACCATGTGCTCTCCAGAGACATTTCGGTCGCCGTGCTGTTGATGTTTGGCTTTGCTGGCGAATGAGCTTGCCGACCGACCCCTGGGCTAGCCCCTGCCTCACACCACACGCCGTCCCTGCACTGTTACTGACCCCGTTCCCCACGGAAGCCTGGGAGCCTTTTCCCGGCCCCCCACGGGCCCCTTTCCCGGACCCTGCGCCCCACTGACCCTGACCTTGCCCACGGACAGAGCACCTCCTGTGTGCGGTGTGTAGGGCACGGGGGGTGGAGGCATCCCACACCTCACACTAGGGCCACATGGGACCCCCTCCCCCCGTTTTTGTCAGTAAAGTTTTATTGGCACGGAGCCGGCCGGTTCAGTGCTGTCCAGGCTGCGTTCGCGGATCAGCCGCGACGCCTGAAGTATGTATTACCTGGTCCTTTCAGGACCGAGCGTGCGACTCCTGTCCCGGGGGCGGGGAGGGACAGGAACGGGGAACCCCGGGGAGAGGGCCTGTGTGGCCGGACCGTCGGCGCTGAGCCCCGTGGAGGGGAGAACGCCGGCTGGGGCAGGTGAGTGGGCAGGGAAGGCCACGTCCACCAGAGTCACCGAGCTGGCGGAGGAGGCGTAAAACCGGGTGGAGGAGGCGCGGAGCCAGGCGGGCGGGAGCGAGAACGGGATAGAGCCCTGGGTTGTTTACCAACCTTTTTTTTTTTTTTTTTTTTTTTAATGGTTTTATTGGTTTGAGAGAGAGAGGAAGGGAGAGGGAGAAATGGAAACATCCCGGAGAGAGACTCCTCCTCAGCTGGTCGCCTCCTGCGCGCCCCCTCCTGGGGACGGCGCCCGCACCCCGGACCGGTGCCCAGACCTGTTATCAAACGGGCGATGCTCAGCCACGGAGCCACCGGCCGGGCCTCCCAGACCTCTGTGCCCACCGTAAGCTCAGGGCCCCTCCCGCCCCGCGGAGGGCCGGGGCCTGTGCTGGGCGGGGGTGGGGGCTCCCCTCGCTCAGGGTCCGAGGGACCGTGCCCGCCTGCAGCTACGGCCGGGGATGGAATGCCCGGGCCCCGTGCGGCCGATTCCTCTAGCGCTGACTGAGCAAGTGGCCTCTCTCAGCCTCAGTTTTTCAGTCTGTAAAATGGGGTAACCAGGCTGCCTCATTCCCAGGACTGTGGGAGGTGCCAGCCTGGGACCGGCTGTGCCCCTGGGACTTGCGTTGCTCTGGGGCCTGAGATTGGCTGTGAGGCTGGATTCCGAGGCCGAGGGTAGATCGTACCTGTTGCTTAAAAAAAAAAATCGAGGAGAGCCCTAACCGGTGTGGCTCAGTGGATAGAGCAACGGCCTGCGGACTGAAGGGTCCCGGGTTCGATTCTGGTCACGGGCATGTACTTTGGTTGCAGGCACATCCCCAGTAGGGGGTGTGTAGGAGGCAGCTGATCGATGTTTCCAACTCTCTGTCCCTCTCCCTTCCTCTCTGTAAGAAATCAATAAAACGTATTAAAGAAATATCACGGAGAAATGCACCCCGCTCGTTAAGCATGTGACGGTGCGCAGCTCGTTTGCATTGAGCACGTCGGTCCCGGGTCAGCACCGGCTCTGTCTGACGTGTCATTTCGAAGCAGGAGCCCGGGTAGAGGAACTGGTCCCGCTTAGACCCCGGTTTGGTGACTGTGAACGGTGAGAATAGCAGTAACGAGACCGGCCATGCAGGCACTTCACCGCCTTTACAAACACGAACACGTCTGCCTGCAGGGGCCCATGTCGCCCTGCCATCCACCCCCTGCAGCCGGGGGCATCCGGGCACGTGCCCAGAGCCAGCGTGTGCGTGTGTGTGACCCGGGACCCGCCTGTCCGGGCGGGCTGGCCTGTCTGAGGCCCGGGCCCCGCCCCACCCCGTTTGCCCGTTCCCCACAGGGCGGAGCCTCAGCGGCCGGAGGCTGAGTTGCGTGTGAGTGAACCGAACGTGAATACAGTCTGAGTTGTGGTTCCTCCGCCTCACCAGCCACGAGACGGGTCCTCCGTGTGGCCGGAGGCTGCGTGGTGTCCAGGGCAGGCCTGGAGCAGGCGTGGGCCAGCCCCTGTCTGGCCAGGAGGGCAGGCAGGACAGCGGGACGCTCTCCAGCGTCTCCTGGTGGCCCTCCCGGCCCTGCGTGTGACTGTGGTGGTCCGTGGTCCGTGGCCGCCCGTGGCCGGCTGGGCCCCACGCGGGGCCGAGGGACTCCTGGGCAGGCGGAGGTGAGGCTTGCACGGCGTGGGGCCTCTGGCTGGTCCGGCCACATTCCCCACAAGCTCTGGGCCTCCGGGCACCTCCGAGGCCTGGGTGAGAGCTGTGCCGGTGAGCAGGTGGCCTGGGACCCGGGTGGGTGGGGCCAGGCCTTCCCTCAGCCAGAGGTGAGGAAGGAAGACCCTCCCGGCCAGGCTGTGCTGGAGGGCTTGTCCCTGTCCCTGTCTGGTCAGTGGCCCGTGCCAGGCCCCCAGGGTGGGGTGAGAAGTTGGGGGCTGAGCACACCCCGGCGGGGAGGAGAGTGCCAGGTGCACTGTGCCAGGGCCGAGGTGGAGACTCAGCAAGCAGCGGGAAGTGCTGGTGACACGGGGTGTGGTCCGCTGCTGTGGGGGCGGCCATGAGGACCCGTGGCACGCGGTGGCCTGGGGCCGGGCGTGCCTTCTCTCTGAGCTGGCCTGGCTCTGTCCACGTGGACGCTGCTGGGCCGAGTGTGGCCAGGAGTGAGGGCTCCGCCCGCCCCCTGGGGGACGGGATGGGGCTGGGGTCCCGTGGCCTGAGGCTGCCCAGGACGGCCCCGGATGGAGTGAGTGGGGAGGGGCATGAGGGCTCTGGGGGTGGCGCCCGGGGGCCAGGAGGGAAGGGGGCGGGCATCGGAGGCCCCTGGTTTCCAGAAGCCCCGAGTTTATCTAGTTTGTGTCTGAGATGGTCACGTGGCCCCTGAGGGGGCGGCCGGGGAGGGCGGGCAGTGGGTTTGTGCCTGTGGATGCCAGGTTGTGCCTGCTGTCTGGGGGGGAGGGAGTCTGGGCACTGTTGAGCCCCCAACGGTGGCAGCGGGAGCCGTTGGCAGCATCCGGGCTGGGCGCCGGGGCAGTTTCACAAGCCCGGGCGGGTGGCCGGGCAGGAAGAGCCGGGGCTGATGTAAGCCTGCGGGCGCTGCTGCTTCCGGAGCCTCCCCCCGGCCGCCCGCCGAGGAGGAAGCCTGGCCGCCCGAGGCCTGAGGCCCCGCTCGGCCGCACGGGCGCCGCCATGGCCCTGGGTCCCGAGGCCCGGGCGCTGGAGTCCGGTGAGCGGCCCGCACTGGGCGGGCGGCGGGCGGGGGTGGGGGGCCCCGATGTGGGGGTGGTGCCGGCGCCTGTGTCCTGCCCTCGCTCAGCCTGCTGCCCGAGGTGGAGGGCCTGCCCCTGCAGCCTGTTCCCCTGAGCGTACCCCAAAAGGCCTGAGCGGGCATTGGGGGATCCTGGGCCCTGAGTGGTGGTGAGCGAGCACTGGCTGGGGGCAGGCCCAGCCTGCGGGCTCCTGGGTGCCCCGAGGGCCAGGCTGGCCGCCTGGGTGGGCCTGGGGGCGGGCACAGGGGTTGCGTGTCCTCTGTGCCTCCTGCAGGCACTTCCCCGGGGCCTGGCACACGCAGGGCCCGCCCGCCCGGGGCCTGGCACATGCAGGTTCCCCGCGGGCGCGGGGGACGGAGCCCTCTGCCAGGCGGCCAGAGGTGCTGGACTCCTGGCTGTCTGGGCTGAAGCCGCCGCCGGTGCTCTGAGGAGGGTGTGCCAGCGTTGATTGATGGCTGTTGTTAAACACTTCCTCCTTCGTCACGGTGCTCCAGGGAGCAGGGTCCCCGGTTTGCTGACGAGCAAACTGAGGCCAAGGAAGGGAAGCCCTTGCCCCAGCTGTGCAGGCCCCCTCCTGCCGGGCCTGGGAGGTCTGCCAGCGTCTCCCCCTGGGGGGGGCGTGGATCTTGGGGCGGTGCCGGGGGGGGGGGGGGGAGGGGAGAGGCATCTGGGGTGAGCCCGGCCGCGGGAGGTGCAGCTTCCACGCTGGCCCGGCCGGCTGGCCACGCACCCCTGGTTTGAGGGCCTCGGGGAGGGGGTTCTGCTCTCCGGAGGGACGGCCACGTCCTGCCCACAACTCTCACTCACTCACTCACTCACTCACGGGTTTTACTCCCTGTCACCGCGCTCGGACCCGCTGCTCACTGGCTGTGGGATCAGGCACTTCCCATCCCCGAGCCTCAGTGTGCTCATCCGTTAAATGGGTGCAGAGGGCCGGCTGAGGACCGGAAGGCGTCCGGGCCCATCCAGGGCTGCTGTGTGGTCCGTGGGGAGGCCGTTTTCTGAATTGTGGGCATCCTCCCCGGTCTAGGAACTCCCAGCAGGAGTAGGGGTTCAGGCCTTGAGCCCCCTCTGCCTCCTCACTCTGCGGCCTTGGGAGACGAGGTCCCTGCTCCCCACTGAGCCTCTGCTTTCGTCTGTAGATCCGGGGACGTACCCGCCTTGGGGCTGAGGGCCGGGGCCCTGCCCGTGGGCCGGGGGTCCCTCAGGGTGTGCTTGAGTGGCCGAGGGGCTGGGCTGGGTGGGGGGGCGCGCCCGTGTCCGCTCCCTGGAGGTGGGCGGGCGGCGCGGCCGGGCGGCGGCGGCCTGACAGCCCCTCTCTCTGCAGGCGAGGCGTTCCTGGGCAGCTTCGTGGCCGGCGGGGTGGGGCCCTCCGCCTCATCCCACGGGAGCCCGGTGCCCCTGCCCTCCGACCTCTCCTTCCGCTCCCCCACCCCCAGCAGCCTGCCCATGGTGCAGCTGTGGGCCACCCACGCCCATGAAGGTAAGGAGCGGCCGGCCGGCGGGTGCGGGCTGCTGGGCACCCCTCCTCCTCCAGGGCACCCCTCCTCCTTCAGGGGGCTCGGCCCTCTCCCTGACGCCCCTGCTGTTTCTATGCTCGGTGCTTCCTCTTGTCCCGTCTCAGGCCTTTGCACAAGCGGCTCCCCTGCTTGTGGCCTCCCCCCCGCCCCCCTTAACGCTGCCTCCTGTCCGTCCTCAGGCCCTCACCTCGCTGTGACTGCCACTATCTGTGTTTATTTGGGAAATACCATTTGCTCCCAGAGTGAGCTCCGAGGGCAGGGCCTGCTTCTGCCCGCCCCCCTGGCGAGGTCAGCTTGTTCATTGCGGGGCCAGTTCTGCCGTGATGCCCTGAACGTGGGGGTTCTGTGGGTTCGGCTTCCTCCCGCCCGAGCGAATCTGCACCTCCCTGGGTCAGTGTCATTATCAGAGGACGGCGGGGGGGACCCACAGCCTCGGCAGCGTCAGGCCCTCCCTCCCCGTGCCCCGTGCCCGCTGCAGGGCCTCAGCCTCCGTGCCCGTGCCCTCGGGCATCTGTGTCTCCCCCCGTGGCTGCCTCTCCTGTCTTCGCTGTCCTGCTAGGCTCTGGTGCTGGGCATGGCGGGTGGGACCTGGGGAGGGGCTGGGAGTCATTCTTTCCCGGCGGCAGAGACGCAGGGGGGGCTGAGATTCAGGGAAAGCTCACGGCCTGCTCGGGGTCCCACAGCAGGGAAGGCGCCAGCGAACCAGTTAAGCCAGGTCGGTACTGGGTTGAAGTTAGGAGGAGCCCTGGGGACCTCGGTTCAAAACCAGGTTCCTCTGTGTGACACCTCGGGCAGGGGGCATCGCCCAGCCTCAGTTTTCTCATCTATTAAATGGGCGTATTAAAGAGGATCACTTTTTAAAAATTTTTGAGATTTAAATGAGAATAACAAAGGCAAAGCAGTTAAAAGTGCTTGGCTCGCCCTGGCTGGAGGGTCCCAGGTTCAATTCCCATCAAGGGCATGTACCTTGGTTGCAGGCACATCCCCAGTCAGGAGTGTGCAGGAGGCAGCTGATCAGTGTTTCTAATCCTCCCTCTCCCATCCTCTCTGTAAAAAATCAATAAGATATATTTTTTTAAAAAAAGGAAAAAAAAGAAAATGCTTGGCTCATGATGGGACCTGCTACGCCCATCACTGCTCCTCCGTGGATCATCTGATCCTTTCCTCACGGACCCGAGAGCCCAAGTCCGCGCGGGCTGCCGGGACCGGAGGGGGCGGGAGGCTGAGCCCTGGGCGGGGGCACACCGGGCCTGGGGAGCAGGCGGTAACTCAGGCCCCTTGCCCTGCCGGCAGCCCGGAGGCCAGAGGAGCCCCGGGGGAGGCAGGAGGTGGCCCAGCCCCTTCCTTCCTTCCTTCCTTCCAGGCTTCTCCCACCTGCCCGGCGGACTGTACCCGTCCTACCTCCACCTGAACCACCTGGAGCCCCCCAGCAGCGGGAGCCCCCTCCTCAGCCAGCTGGGCCAGCCCAGCATTTTCGACTCGCAGAAAGGTAAGGGGGTTGTGGGGTGGGGGACCTTCCCAAGGGTTTCTCTGGGGCCCCAGCATCGGAGGAGGCCCAGTCCGTAATCCAGGCAGCACCCACCCCCTCAGGACCCCCCCACCCCGACTGCTCGGCAGACCCCGCCCCCGCCTTCTGGAGTCTTCCCGTTGTGCCTGCTGGGCTGCCTTCCTGGGCCCTCTGGGCCTCTCCCCCTTTCACAGATGGGAAAACCGAGGGCCGGGACCATGAGTCAAGCGAGATTGAGATTCATTTCCACCCCCTTCCCGGGAGCCTGCCCCCGGAGGGCTGTGGGGGCCCTCGCCCTGGGATGGCAGGGCGCCCTCTGGCGCCCTTAGGGGCCTCCCTCGCCCTGACGGCCGGCTCTCTCCCCGCAGACGGCTTCTACCTGCCCGGCCCCGGCGCCCTGCACCCGCCGGCGCCCCCCGCCAGGACCGCCGGCCCCTCCGCGGGCGCCGCGGCCAAGGGCGCCCCGCGGGAGCGCGCGGCCCGGGAGCCGCCGCCGCTGCTCGGCCGGCGGGAGGCGCGCGCCCGGGAGGAGGCGGCGGCGCGCGGGGTGGTGGACCTGACGCAGGAGGCGCGCGACCGGCCGGACCGCGGGCACGCGCGCCTCGCCGAGCGCCTGTCGCCCTTCGTGGCCGAGCCCGGGCCGCGGGCCCCCGCCGACGCCAAGGGCAGGACCGCGCCGCCCGCCCCGGGCCTGTGCAATGGCGGCGCCGACGCGCTGCCCGCGCTCCTGGCCGAGGCCGCCGCCCGCGGCGCCCGGGACGAGGCCGCGCGGCTGCGGCGCGCGGAGGCCCTGCTGCCCG